AAAAAAAAAAAAAAAAAAAAAAAGACCAAAAAAAAAAAGACGACGACTTAAAAAGATAGTATGCCAAGCACCCTCAACTGGATAACAAGTGTTTGACAGTATTTAGTCCTTTCAGTTCCCTTTAGAGATGAATATTTTTATATTCAGTTATATTTATTTTTGCCTAGACTACTAATAGGAGGAAGATTAGTAACATCCATCAAAAACATCTACTTATATTAAGTTTAAAGATTTAAGTGTGCACAAAGCCCATTCACATAAGACCTTTTCATACCACTGTCTCTTATCACAAGCTTTAAACAAAACTACTCTGGGGAACTTGCTTTGTAAGAAATTATTTTCAAAGCAAAAAAGGAGAAGGATCTATACTTCAAGGAATGTTGAGAACGATACCAAAAAAAACTGAAATTGAAAAGGCACAAAAACAGACAGAAAAACCAAAGAAAGCCATGGGGAAAAAAAGAACAGTATCTTCTTAAAACCACTGCCTATAGTAGGTGATTTGAGAAACCTTCTAAAAGAGTACTTCCTGCATAAATTCAGCATACATTTTTACTGATCAGTACACCATTATAGTCACCCTTGTATTTGTGGACATCAAATATTAAAAGCTTTATTACTGTAATTGGTTCTTATGTGGATTTCAGCCTAGATCCTGTGTAATAGAAACAAATCTGATTTAGAAACTTGAGATTTGTGCACTCACATCAATTTTCTCCTGCCAACAGCCCAAGAAACTACTTTTGTATGAAGACTGTGCTAAAATTATTTCTTGTAGGTTTATTTTTTAATGGAGGGTGAGGGAGAAGGGTTAAAATAACTATGTACAGAATATATTACTGACCATAAACTTGTGTCTAAAAATGACAGCAGGTGTGTACACATTTTAACAGAAAGTTTCTACTAAAGCCTATTTTTTTAAAGTGTAGTATTAAAAATCTATATGTTTTTCCTCAAAGATATGTTTCCAAACAGATTAAATTTTAAAATAATATTTTAAAAATAAAAACATACATACCTCTAGGTACTGGTAAAATACTGAAAACAGTGGCCATGTCCTCCCAAGCAGAAGAGCTAACATAGATTTAGCAGTATCGATATCAAGGCTTCTCTGATCTTTATCCTAAAATATAAGTAAATACATTTTCATAAGTGTGGCCTAAGATTAAAAAAATATATTAAAATGATGAAACATGGGTATTCCACTTACCCTTGCAAAATCAAAGGCATATCTGTAGATATTCTTAAACGAAGAAATATCATTCAACTGTGAGCGCAAAAAGTCAAATTTGTTCTGTAACTTTTCTGTGCAGTCACACCTTAAATTTAAAAAAATCAAACAGATTATATAATAAAGAAAATTAAATAAAAAAGCACTTTTAGAGGTCTGAAAGAATGCATTAAGAAAAAAAGTGAAAGCAATATAATATGAAATTATTAATTTAGGTTTAAAATTCTCTGATTCAAAATTTAGTATTACAAACAAATCTGTTATCTTGTATCTACCAATGCAAGAAAAAGGAAAAAAACCCTGGAAACCAATAAAAGTTCACTCAAGTCACTTCTATTTTTTTTAAAAAAAGCACAAAAACCCCCAAAACTCCAATAAAGCTACAAATGTCTCTTAAAAAGAGATGTATTAAAATGTATTAAATGCTTTTAGCAAATGGCAGAACAAATGAAATTAATCAGGCCTCTGTTACATATTTCATTGGAAAGTTCTTAGGCACCAACTTGGTGACAGATTAACCATGAGTAGTTTTAAAAGTTTAGGATGTTGTATTGAGGAAATTAATACATCATATTAGTGGTTCATTCATAAATTCAGATTCCTACATTTTTAGTGAACAAAAAATAGAGGAAAATCAGTGGCAACACTTATTTCAAATCAGGTACATATAAATGCAAAGAATGCAAACAAGTTATACATGTTATTTCTAAAGATAAGATATTGACTTTAACTCTCACTGGGTTGATATTTTCTATTATTTAGCAAGAAGCAAGCAAGCCTTTCACAACTGGCCCAAATCTCCTGTTACATCTCCTGCCAGGTCCCAATATCCTTACTGTGTATTCCAGTTATATTTCACTTACCATTCCCAAATGCCACAACTATGCTTTAGTTCATATTATTTTCCTCTATTTGAAATGCTATTCCAACATTTTCACTAAATATTACTCATCAAAACCTCACTTACATTTTGCCATCTCTGAGAGACCATCTGACTTCCTTCAATCAAATTAGTTGTGCCATCTACTGGGATCCACAGTTATTTCACTCAAAACTGAATTTTAGTACTCATCAGATAGTATAGGCACCTAGCATTCTCAGATTTAACTAAGACTTTCAGTATTCTAAATCAATAATGTGACATGGGGTAACTTATAATTTTATTAAGGTGTAGGTATTTTGAATAAATTTCTAATGTGGCTTAAATCTTGCATTCCTAAAATAAGATGAATTTGGCCATGGTACCAGTTAATACATTGCTAGTTTTGGGGGTTTTCTGCTATGCTCCTAAGTGAGACTGGCTTATAAATTTAATTCTAGCACATTCTCTTTGCTAGTTTTGATAACAAGCTTATAACATAAGCCTCGGAAAAATAAAAAGCATCATTACCTTTGTTTTCTGAAAAAGTTTACTGAATATTGGAAATAATAGCTAGCATTTGTTCAAACTCAGGTGAACAACCACCTGGGCCTTTTCACTAACGAAAGAAGAGCACTTTTAACCACTAAATCAGCATTTTTAATGGTTATACAACCATTCAGATTTTCTATTTCTTTTTCAATCACTTTTGGTCATTTATATACTTTTCTGATAGCTTATTTCATACAATTTTATTTAACTATGTTGATTAAAATTATTTATAACAATTTCTAATATACATTATAATATAGTTTTGCCTTTTCTTTGATTGTCTTGACCATCTTGCCAGACTTTCTTAATTCTCTCAATTTTAGCTTTGCTTTTATTTTACTAATGTCTGGACATCTTTTCATGTCCTTTTGCCTCTTTCTTTGGGTGGATCCTTTTTCTAACTCCTTAAATTAGATATTAACTCATTTGGTTTCAGACTTTTTTCTCTTTTAAGGCTAGACCTCCCTCTAAGTATAAATTTAGCTTCAGCCACAGTTTTGACAAGTAAGACAGCTTTGATTATTCACTTGTAAATGACGCCTTGCCAAGAGATTTCAGAGGAGTGGTATAAAAGTCTTACCAGAATAAGTTTGAGAGAGAGTAAGAGAGGAATTGGAGAAAAAAGTATAGACAAATGCTTTCAAAGAGTTTGGTCCTAAAAGGGGACAGAGAAAAGAAGAACTAACTAGAGTCAGGTTTGGGGGGGGGCGGCAGGGGGGAGAAGGGTAAATATTAGGAGAAGTAGCCTACACATTACAGTGCTGCTTTTTTAACAGATTAAAGAAACAACTTCCACTTGCAGGAAGATGAAGTAAATGTACTTTTCCCTATCTCTCCCGCTAATTCAACTAAAAGCCCTAGACATTATATATAAAACAAGCATAAGAAGATTTCTGAGAAATAATACAACAGTGAGTTCCCTGGGTGGTCTTTCTGCCTCATCTATCCCAGACTTAGAGCTAAAGAAGTCAGCAAATCAAAAATGCCAATGGGGCAGGCAGAAAACAAACAAAAACAAAAACACCAAAAAAAGTCTGTTTTCCCTCTAGCCAAAAGCAAGCAGCCTAGCAAGGCAGAAAACTTTTAGGAAAAAAACAACATTCTTTTTCAGTCAAACACCACAGAAAAAAGTGTGGCTCAAGCCCCACCAATGCCTGCAAAGATTGAATGGGGACCTGAATGGTCCATCCTCACCAGTATATAAGGATGTCTCCCTCTCAACTCCTGCAGTGTCAATGGAAACCACAAGTAGAACATGAACTTCTCCCACACCAGGTAAGAAGGAGCAGCCAATCCTCCACTGCCCTTGGGTAGTGACCAAGGACTTGTGGAGAGTCAAGGCTTTCACGATCACTGCAGGAACAAAGCCACCACCCTAGTAGTGTTAGTAGAGACTTTATGGGGAACAAGAAGGTATCAGTGGAGGCCTAGTGGGGACCTGGAACTCTTGTGCCTGCCAATGAGATGTCAATGGATGAAGAGCAGAGAACTTCGATTTCTACCTACACCTGGAAACAATGAGGCAGTGGCCACCACTTCTCCTGCCCAAGTGGAGTGAGAGGAAGCTAGCTAAAACAGACGGTTTAAATAAGATCCAGAGTTTCATTAGTATAATACTCAAAAGTTCCAGGTTTCAATAAAAATGTTTCAATCATCAATTATGAACACAAATGAAGACGTCTCAGCAAAGAAATACAAAATCTAAGGGAAAAAAAAGTAACATGTAAAAAAGAACCAAATGGTAATTTGTGAATTGTAAAATACAGGACAGACTTAAGCCCTTAACATTAAATGTAAGTAGCCTAAATATTACAATTAGAAGACAAAACTGGACAGAGTGCATTAAAAAACAACAACAAAAAAACACACACCCACAAAGACCCAACTATATGCTATCTAGAAAAAAGAAACTGACTTCAAATATAACAATATAGGCAGAATGAAAGTAAAAGAATGAAAAATAACATATACGGAAATAATCATAAGAAAGGATGACTATATTAGTACCAGCTGATGAAGAGTTTAGAACAAAAAATTATCAGAAGAAGAACATTACAAAAAGATTTAAAAAGGGTTAAGCCCTGGCTGGTGTGGCTGAGTTGGTAGAAGCGTCATCCAGCACACCAACTGATGGGTTTGATTCCCAGTCAGGGCACATCTACGCTGCAGGTTCCATCCCTGGTCAGGGCATGTGTGGGAGGCAGCTGATTGATGTTTCTCTCTCCTTTCCTCTCTCTAAAAATAATCAATTAAAAAATTGTTTTAAATAAATGAAAAAGGTTAATCCATCAAGAAGACATAACAATCCAAAATGTGTATGCACCAAACAAGAGTTGTAAAATATGTGAAGCAAAAACTTTTATTTATTTTGTTAATCCTCACCCGAGGATATTTTTTCTACTGATTTTTAGAGAGAGTGGGGGGGAGAAGGAGGGAGAGGGAGTGGGAGAGAGGAACATCGATGTGAGATAACCTTGATAGGTTGCCTCCCACATGCGCCCCAACTGGGGCCAGGGATTGAATCTGCAACCCAGGTACGTGCCCTTGACTGGGAATCAAACCTTCAACCCTTTAGTGTGCCAGCCACTGTTCTAACCACTGTAACACCACCAGCCAGGGCAACAAAAACTTTTAGAATTGAAAGGAGAAATAAACAAATCTATAACTAGTTAGAAATTTCAATACCTCTCTCTCAGCAATTGACAGAACCACCAGACAGAATATGAACAAACACAAAGAATTCAGCAACACTATCAACCAACAGGATCTAACTGACAATAATAGAACATTTTAGTCAATGACAACAAAATACATATTCTTTTCAAGTGCCCCAGAACATAAACCAAGGCAGACCATATTATAAGACATAAAACAAATGTAAACAGATGTGAAAGAACTGAATTGCGAAGGATGTTTTCTGACCACAATGAAACCAAACTAGAAATAACATAAAGATAACAGCAAAATCTCTAAACACTTAGAAAATAAACAGCAAAGTCCTAAATAATCCACAGATGAGAGCATGTCTCAATGAAAACCAAAAAATATGTTAAACTAAATGAAAGTGAAAACACATCAAATTTTGTGAGACTCAAAGCAGTGCTGAGGTTATTTACAGTACTAAATGCAAAATTAGAAGAGAGAAAAAGTCTCAATCAATAATCAGAGCTCCCAACTTTAGAATGAAAAAAGAAGAGCAAAATAAACCTAAAGCAAGCCAGAGAAAGCAACAGCAGAAACTGATGAAACTGAGAACAGAAAAACAAGAGAGAAAAATCAATGAAACAAAGATTTGATTTTTTGGGAAAAGATTAATATAACTGACGAGTCTCTAGCAAGAATGACAAAGTAAAAAGCGAAGACAAAAGTTACCAACAGGAATAAAACAATGAATATCCTTACAGATTTGCACCTATCAAAAGAATATAAATTTGACAACTTAGATGAAATGGACCAATTCCTTAAAAAACAAAAACTACAACATACACAATATGAAATAAATCATTTGGGTAGCACTATACTAAAGAAATTTAATACAAAATTTTAAAACTTCTAAAAAAGAAATCTTCAGACGGTTTCACTAGAGAATTCTACCGATCTTTAAAAACCAATTCTAAACAATCTCTTTCAGAAAATAAAATATAAGAAAATCTGCCCAATTCATTTTACAAAGCCAG